TTAGGTTTAAACCTGGGAATAAAATTGCAGGGTCAGTGGTAACTCTGTGCTAGGCCTTTTGAAGAACTGTCAGCCTGTTTTCCAAAGAGGCTGCACAGTTTTATCCAGTTTCTGCACATCCTTACTAGCTTGTTATTGCCTGTCTTTTTTATATTAGCTGTCCTAGTGGATGTAGAATCTCATTATGGTTTTGATTTGCATTTCCCTGATGCTAATGACGTTAAGCATCTTTTCAAGTGCTTTTTGGCCATTTGTATATCTTTGAAGAAATAACTCCTTAGATTATCCATTTTTTTTTACTGGGTTTGCATTGAATCTTGTGAGGTAGCTGATATTACTTATTTTGCATGTGGAGAAACATTCTCAGGGATGTTAAGTATTTTGGTCACCTCAAAAGCTGGTGAGCCAGTCTTGAAGGATTTACCTCCTCCAAATGTGGCTTTTCTCCCCTTCCTTAGTGAGTGTGCGGTACCTGGTATTGTTTCCCCATCCCTGCTTTCTACCTTTTGCCACTTTTTGGATAAAGAAGCCCATAAGACCTAATGAATTGGGGCTTTAGCAGGATCCATTGGGACACTCTGATACTGGATGATGTGGAGAAGGTGCTCACTGCTAAAAGCATGAAATGGCCTTAGCTGAACTGGACAGGGACCACACTCTACTACTAACTGATTGTGGCATTCTTTGGAAGTTCATTTTCAACTATAAAATGGAGATAGTAATTTTTTTTTAAAAGATTTATTTATTTGTGCATACAAAACTAGGGTACAGGCCAGAGGCTCAGGGGTGGTGAGAGGCTTCACCAGAGACAGAGTGGGGAGCAGAACAGGCAGATCGAAGAAGTACACTGCTGAGGGGAGCAGCGGGCGGGTCAGGAGAGGTCTGCCACACCATGTGGTCACCTCTGGGGCAGGCAGGAATCGAACTCATGCAGAAGTGGCTTTTAGCTTCTTTTATTTTATTTATTTATTTATTTATTTATTTTATTTATCCATTCATCAATTGAGGGACATTAGGGTTGTTTCTGCTCTTGATTATTATAAATAATGCTACTGTGGATATTTGTATACAAATTTTTGTGTGGACATATAATGTGCTTTAACCCCCTGCGCCACCAGGGAGGGCCTGGAGATAGTAATCTGAAACCTCACAGGGTTATTCTGAAGTGAAAATGCTATGTAAATATTAATAGATTGCAAGGCACTACTCAATTCCAATGAATGTTCTATGGAATACCAATACTGATTAAGAAGAGTTAGGTGACAAGAAGCTGACAAAAAAGAACCTGCTGTCAACCAGAGTGAACAAGTGGTTCTTATTCACAACTACATTCTCATGCCCACAGTACCTTTCTAAGAGGGAAAGTATATCCAGGAGTCCCCAAATGGAATCTCTGTTCACAGAGAGAATACACACTTGAAAGTACAAGACCATATAGTCAGGATAATGGCTGACATTATTGAGAGGTACTGAATGCCAGGCACTGCTCCAAGCCCCTTTACTCATTGTTTCTCACTTCATCCTGGCAATAGCTCACGAGAGGGCATCTCCATTTACAAATAAAGAAATGTGTCACAGATGACACTGTAAATTCAGAACTGGGATCCAAACACAAGTGGCCTGGCTCTAGAAATCACTTGTGGTGCTCTACTGCCTCCACTAAAATTTGATGCCTGACATTGTTATCATTCTCCCCAAACCACTGTACTATTAGAACCTTATTCATGCGTGTTTTTATTTGCTGACTCAGTCAGTATTTGTCAGGCATATTAATGGCCAGGAATTGGGATACAATGTGAAGAAGATGGTCACACTTCCTTCCTCATTGAGCTTTTGGCCCTATGATGATAGTCGAGTAAAAAGATAATGACAGTAGAATGTAGTGAATATTCAACCAGGGAGATGCCTAAAGTACTGGAGAGCCCTTGGGAGCTGAAACTACCCCAAACTTAGGAAGTATCACTGGAGGAAGTAACTTCTAATTAGAGGCCTAAAATTAAATCAGCCAATTGAAGATGTGGGACCCAGGAAGAAAATGTTTCAGATAGTGGAACAGTATTTGCTAAAGATCACAGATGAAGCAGAGCATTAGGAAGGGGGTAGTAAGAGATAAGACCTCAGAAGTGAGCAGGGACCCTCCTCCTGAGCCTTCTTTATTAGCTGCCACTGCTGGCATTTGCCCCTGAACTGGATAGCCCCAATGTATTCAAGTCCGTCTGCTTTTTTTGTTTTTCTTTAAAGATTTATTTATTTATGCATGCAAGAACTGGGGTGTGGGTTAGCGATACAGGACCTGAGAGGAATCGCCACAGAGTAGGGAGCAGAACAGGCAGACTGACAAAGTACACTGCTGAGGGAAACAGCAGGCAAGACATGAGAAGTCTGCTGTGCAATGTGGGTCGCTCCCTGGCTAGGGATCGAACTCATGCAGTGGCTGCCAGTAGCTTGATGGTAATGACTTTAAACCCTGTGCCACCAGGGAGGTCTCAAGTCCATTTGATTGTAAAATAATATTATAATTTGTTCAGTGATCTGATTTTTGCATTAGACTGCCAACTTCCTTTTGTTTTTATTATTTTATATATTTTTTTACATCATTCTTCATTTTAATACAATGTATTCTTTATTATCTTGGGTGTAGTCCCCATGAAATTCCCACCATCAATTCATCTGTGCACCATAACCATAATCCTTTTATACTATGAAAGGACCACCCCTATTTTGATCCTACTCCTTCCCCCTGCAAGCTTCCCACAGAGTGTCTGATTTATAGTTGCTTGTTGATTTTGATGTTTAATTTATTATAATTACTTTTTTCCCCCTACCCCTTATTTGGATCCCCTACAATTCCTCCTGTAAATGAAACCATCCAATACTTTTTCTTTCTGGCTTGTTACTGAGCTTGATCACTTCGAGCTCCATCCATCTTGCTGCGAATGTCATGAGTTTATGTTTTTTGATTGCTGAGTAGTATTTCATTGTGTATATGGATGATGTAGTCATCCATTTTTGGGCATTTGGGTTGCTTCTGTAGCTTACCTATTGTGAATAGTGCTGCAGTAAACATAAGAGTGCAGGTGTCCTTTTGAATTAATGTTTTTTTGTCCTTTGGGTATACATCTAGGACTGGAATTGCTGAATCATATGGAAGCTCCATTTTTAGCAGTTTGAGGAGCCTCCACATAGCTTTCCATAGTGGTTAGACCAGTTTGCATTCCCACCAGCAGTGTAGCAGAGTTCCTTTTCTCCACATCCTCTCCAACATTTGTTGGTAGTGTTTTTAATATGTGAGATTCTCACTGGTGTGAGTTGGTATCTCATTGTGATTTTGATTTGCATTTCCCTGATCACCAGTGATGTTGAACATTTTCATATACCTGTTGGCCACTTGCATTTCCTCTTTGGAGGAGTGTCTTTTAGCTCTTTTGCCCATTTTTTGACTGGGTTGTTTACTTTGTTAGGTTTCATCAGCTCTCTGTAGATCTTTGCGATCAGTCTCTTATCATAAGTGTTGTATGCAAAAATTTTCTCCTAATCAGTGGGGTTAGACTACTCACTTCTTAAAATATTGACTGAGTCTTATATATCCAGCAGTTGCCACCATGCACTGGTGTCATTAAGTGTTGTTTGTTAAATGAATGATGTGTTTTCTTTGTAAAGTGGAATACCTTCCTGCGTTCTTGAGCCAACTATATCACTTTTCCTCAGGTTCATCATTATATCCAGTAGTTAATGCTCTATGTGGCAATTGAGTGAAGCTCTTAGGGGCTCTTAGGTGCTAAATTCTATGAATTCCTTCTTCAGCTTTTTATTATGCTATTCTTTTTCTCCCCTACCTGGCCAGCACTCAATTGTAATCAATCTGTTTAACTCAGACTGGAGAGAGTTACAAATATTTTATCAGTAGATTGAGCCTGGATGTTTTAGGTCTTTGACCACATGAAATGCTGGTCTTCTTACCTTCAAAAATACCACTGTAGTGTATTTATTCAGATTATAATTTAAAAACAGATTATAAAATTGCAGCATAGGCCCTCCCTGGTGGCACAGCGGGAAAAGCACTGCACTAAGAAGCTTAAGCTGCTTCCGCATGAGTTCGATCCCTGCCTGCCCTGGAGGTGACCACATGGCGCGGGCGCTGCTCCCCTCAGCAGTGTACTTCGTCGATCTGCCTGTTCTGCTCCCCACTCTGTCCCTGGTGAATTCTTTCACTCTCCGCATCTCTGACCTGTACCCCAGTTCCGTATGAATAAATAAAAATAAAATAAATCTTAAAAAAAAATTGCAGCATAGTAAATTCCAGTTTTGCAAGATCTGCATATGTGTGTATGTATGTCTGTGCTTGCATATGTAAATATATACCAACATGTTAAATGTAGTTTCTTAAGTTACTGAGCTACTGATCCCTTTTCTTCATTGCACTTTTGTGTAGTTTCAAAATTTTTATGGCTTTAATAGACTTAAAAAAGCTCTTTACAAAATCATATTAAATACTCATTAGATTGTAAACATCTTCAGAACACAGAGATTTGTTATTCTTCTGCTATGAACAGCCTCTGTCTCCTACCCCATTTGTCCCCTCTGTTAGCCAACCGTCTCTCATTACCTGGATTATTCCTTTCTCTCTTAAAACTTTCATCTTCTCTGATTCTCTCTTGATGCCCAAACTGAGCTAAGTCTCTGGCTTTCTATATATCTAACATGGCATTTATCTCACTACTGAAGCACGTTTATTAATCTGTTTCCTTTGTCAGATTAGGTCAGGGGCCATATTCACTGGGCTAACACTTAATAAGTGTGAATAAGCCTTTGTGAGATTAGCTGTCCCCTGTTTTACCTCCTGTTGCCCAGCATAGCTGATCCATTATAGTAAGTGTTCTTAGGCATTTAGTAAGTAAGTGGAGGAACAAGTATATTGATATGCCAACAGGAAGAAGGCAAGATTACTGGTTTGTGGCATTTGTTGCTCACAGTGGCATTTGTGTTGCTTTCCTCTATAGTCCTGGTTACCCGCGAGGATGACTTCAACAACCGGCTGAACAACCGTGCCAGCTTCAAGGGCTGCACGGCCCTGCACTACGCCGTCCTGGCTGATGACTACAGCACTGTCAAGGAGCTGCTTGATGGAGGTGCGGGTGTGGGTGAATGTGTGGGAGGGGGAATTGGCAGGGGGCCAGTAAGAGAGTACTTGGTAACCTTTCTACTCCAGAAGTGCCAGGCTTCCCCAGAGCCCTGTTACTCTTCTGGAGCTAGAAAAGGTGGAAGGAAGCACAGAGGAGACTGCTCTTTATGACGATGACAGTATACTTGTGTGATTTGCCCTTGTGTGGCAAGAATATTCTTTGCCTACATGTATCTGAGGCATCACTTCATCCTGCCTACTTGCACATACTCTGAGAGTTTGCTTGAGTGTTAGTTTTCCCAAAAGTGTCCTCTCTTCCCTCTCTGATGTCCAGAGCAAGACTAATAGAACAAGGAAGAGGTCCTTCAGGTCCCTATTAATCCAGGTCTCATAAACATCCTCCTTGGTCCCACCTAATCTAAATTAGGACCCTCCCATTACCCTGAGTATGGTACCCTTTTTTTCCCCATCATTGCACTTGCCACAATCTGAAAGTGTTCGATTTTCAGCAGTGTTCTCCCTAACATAGCTCAGAACAGTGAAGGTAGGAACTGTGGCTGGCTCATTCCCAGCACAGCTAGCATAGTACTCATCACACAGTAAGCAGTCAGTAAACCTTTGTTGAACAATTGAATACCCTCCCTTTGGAGAACATGGATTTCATTGGCCAGAAGGACAAGCTGTGCCATTCTCAGAATTGGGCTGGCTGGTCCCAAGCAAGTCTGGTACCACCAGTTACCTACTACCTTGCCAGATACTTCCCAAGCAGTCACTTTCCATGACACTTCACTGCATCCCACTCCAGCCTCTTCATGGGACAGCAAACATCTTGCCAGGATGTGTGTTTCCCAGGTCAGTTGACAAGGTCCTTCAACAAGCTGGACGGGCCCTGAGAGATTCTCTGCATCACCCTGATTGCCTCCCCTCCTTCCAGCTGAATCCTCTCCAGCAGCTGTCCATTTGGCAGTTCCTTGGATTCTATGGAGGACCAAGGGGACCCTACTTCTTTCTAGAAGTCCATTCCATTTTAGTTCTTCTCTGACTGGTTAGAATATCTTCTTTTAAATGAACTCTGATTTTCTTCTTTGTAACTTCTGCCAACCATCCTTTGCAACCCCATCATTTTTTCAACATCTAGTCTTCCAGGCTAAGGGCTAAGGCCTTAGCCCCCCCACCTTTACAGTTCACCCACCTGCCTTTTTACCCAGCATCCATTTACAACCCCTGCTCTGGTCTTCCAGCCTCAAGGGCCAAAACCATTAACCTACCAGTTCTTCAAGGAAAGTTCTTTCAGTCTTATTTGTAACTTCTAGTCCAAACCCCCCCCCCCATCACCTTCTAACCCATAAGTTTGTGTGACTGCACTAGAGGCATTTCCCAGTAACCTCCAAATTCTGCCACAGAATTCTGCCACAGATTCCTTAAGCCACAGCCACCCTGGCTTGGACCTAGGCCTGACCTGTATCTCTATCCTACAGGACACCTGGCCCAGGGCAGCCTGCGTGCCCCTTGTTCTAGGGCATGCACACCTTGTGGGGCAGGGCTGTTTGTGGCTGTGATGGCAGTGCTTGAGCTGATGAATGCTTTGGGGTGAACACTCACAGCTCTTAGCACAGTAAAGTTTCCTTAACAGGAGGCTTCTTACTTCATCCTTTGGAAAGCTCTCCATAAGACATTTGCAGCAAGAACTGAAGCATTCACCACGGGGTCTCTGCTGTATCTAAAAAATCATCAATAACTCAGCCATTATCTGGTAGTTTACATTCCCTGCTGCCCCTCAACCCCTCACAAACAGGGAAAACTCTCTAAAAAGAGACCCTCTTCCCAGCCTTCCAGATTGAACACCTTTGAAATCAAGAGGCATGGTGCTTTTATGAAACTCCCCCCATCGTTATCGCTAGGCCAGGGGGCTGGCCCTTAGAGCTGTTCCGGAGGCATGGTTCCTGCCTGTTGACATGGAACAGATGCCCTTAGCCCCCCACCTTTACAGATCACCCACCTGCCTTTTTACCCAGCATCCATTTACACCCCCTGCTCTGGTCTTCCAGCCTCAAGGGCCAAAACCATTAACCCACCATTTCTCCTTTCCTGACCTGAACAAGTGGCCGTCACTCAGGGCCCGCAGGCTGCCAACTCTGACCTCCCTCCCCCCTCGACCTCAGTTGGTTGCCTGTGTGTATGACCAGCCAACCGAGAGACAGGATCCTGCTCCCTTGTCCTTAGGGCTATTGCCAGTAACGTTTCCAAAGTCTTATGCCCTCAGCTGACCTTCTTCAGAGGATTTTAGGATTTTAGGACCTTCTTCAGTAGGAGGGTCTGTCTTTCTGACCCGCTAGTTTTCTTACATTTGCTACCAGTTTTGCTGCTGCAACTTCAAGGGAGGTGCTCTCTGTGAAATCCAAACTGGTAGACACAGGGGCCTGCCTGTGCTCACAAAGTCCACACAGAACTGTGTCCTTGAAATTGCTTAATCCACAGGGACTTGTGTCTCCAGACTTGAGAGAGTTGAGGGGACAACTGTCCTTGCTTTCTCGCCAGCAGAACCTGTGGGAGCTGGGAGGTCCCCATAGCAGCAGCATCAAAATGCCTTGACAAATTGGTGCATTTTCTGGCCTGTTAGGAAGTAGCATGAAGTAATAAAAAGCACACCTAAGGCTTCAGAGTGAGACCAACCTGAGTTTGAACTTCAGATCCCCCAACTACAAATGTATTGCCTTCAACACATTGCCTTACCTCTCTAAGCCTCTGTATTCTGTCCAGAAAATAGTACCTAGGAAGTATCACAGGGAAAATGTGAGGATTTGTGATGCTGTCCCTCAGGCTCCTGGGACTTAGTAGATGCTCTGTGATTTGTAGTTATTATTTTGACTATATAAAGAAGTCAGAGTGTCACCATGGCCACTATAATCCCAACCCTCCCCATATGAAATCTGTACTCATACATTCTTAACGCTGTTTCTACCCACAACTCCTCTACTCTGCCTAAAACCCCATGTGTCCCTTCTTCATTTAGGCCCTTCAAAATGTTCAAGGCTTCCCTCTCTGAGAAGGCTTCCCCTGGAGACCTGGTCTGCTCTGATAGCACCTCTATCTAAGCTATCTAAACTCTAACGGAGCTGGACTGGGTGCTTAGCACAGGAACATAATTTCTTCATCTTCAGCACCCTAACATTATAAACCTAACACAGGCCTGGGAGTCAGATAGACCTGGTTTTAAAATCTCAGCTCTGAGATATTACTCTGGACAAGTTGCCATCTCTGAGACCAGGGACTTCAGAGCATTCTAAGATGGATCAGGCAAACTGTCCCTGACCCTGAGAGACTCTCAGCTGCTGAAAGAGAAAGACATGAAAAAGGTAGTGACAGCGAGGTGGCTGCTCTTGCAGGAGAGTGGACAAAGGGCTCTAGCAACCAAAAGGAGGAAATACCTGCTTCTGCCTGACGAGCAGGGAGGTGGCTGGCGTCAGTTACAGAAAGAAGGGGGTGCTTAAGCATGTCAGGATGGTTAGTAGTTTACCAGATGGATTTCTGTGGAGGGGATCTGAATGAACTAGTGTCCATTTTCTACACTGGACCTCTACAGAAGTGTGGGCACACAGGCCCCCATGGTTTTCATCTCTGAAGATGCAGCTTCAGTCTCTGTTGATGGTTTATGAGGTAGGTTCTGCTTCAGCCTTGACTACCAAGAATGAGCGAAGGTTGGAAGGAGGGGAGGAGAGACAGGATGACTAGGAGGTTGCCTGGAGCTTCTGCTCTCAAGCCTGGAGGTGACTCATCCTGATAGTTCCAGGACTGCTGTGGTGCTGTCTCGGCCATTTCCTCCCAGGGATGTGATCCCTCTGCCAGATTCATCTTCCAAAATTTATCTGTAATCTTGGCAGCCACTCTCAACCAGGGTTCCTGGTTTCTAAGGCATCTGTTGTACACAGGGAATTGACTTCTCTCCCAGAGATCTAAATGGTCCAAGTTATATTCTATTCTTGGGAGAATTGAGAAAATCATTACTCAGATATTTCCCATATGAGGTAAAAGGAGAAAACCCAGCTGAGAAAGGCTGCACAGAATGAGCATGCACTCTGGGGTCCTGAGTACCTGCCTGTGGGTTCTGGGCCAGCCACCGATCATCTGGAGATTCTTTCCTCATCTGGAAATGGAAGCATTACCACCCCTTGGAGATTTGTTAGAAATAGGACATGTATCATTCTAAAGAGTAGGCTCTCTTTGTATCTATTATTATTCACTTCAGAAACACTTAGTGCTTACCTTTTTACAATAAAGGAGAAATCTTCCAATCCTAGCTTTGTGAACTGGTTTTACAGTTGCTGTAGTCAGACTCTCTCCTAACTTTTCCCAGAACTGCCCTAATATTTCAGCTGCACTCTTATGCCACCACAGTGCCTTCACTCTTGCAGGTTTTTCTGCCCCTCATTTCCCTTTAAGACTTTGTTTTGCCAACTGGTGGAGTCGTTTTTGCCAATTGAACTCCAGTTCCTTTGCCACTTCCCTTTTCTCTGGGACCTGAGTCTAATCCCCCCGACTGACAGAGGTAGATTGAGAATGAGGACTGTCTTACTTGTCCCTCCTGCCTTTGCCACAGCACTGCGTACGTAGTTTCGTAGATGTTTAGTTGTACTGTGGATTTTCTATTTGGAGATGTTGTAGCTTTGCTTCCTGGCCCACTCACTTAAGTGTCATTGTATCTGACTTTTTTTTTTTTTTTTAATTTTTTTTTAAAGATTTATTTATTTATTTGTACAGAACTGGGGTACAGGCCAGAGATGCGGAGGGTGAGAGGATTCACCAGAGACAGAGTGGGGAGCAGAACAAGCAGATCGACGAAGTACACTGCTGAAGGGAGCAGAGGGCGGGTCAGGAAAGGTCTGCCACGCCATGTGGATCACCTCCGGGGCAGGCGGGAATCGAACTCATGCGGAAGTGGCTTAAGCTTCTTTGTGCTGTGCTTTAACCCACTGCGCCACCAGGGAGGGCCCGTATCTGACTTTTTAA